AAAAAAAAAAAAAAAAAAAAAAAAAAAAAAAAGATAAGGGATAGAAGCCTGCAGGAACAAAGTTTGTTTTATTATGCTGGTAACTCCTCAGAGCTGCCAAAAAAAGAAGCACGTTTGTCTGGGCACGGGTGACTTAAAAAAATTTTTTTAACAATTTTTAAATTAAAAAAAAAAAAGACAGGGTTTCACCATATTGGCCAGGCTGGTCTTGAACTCCTGACCTCGGGTGATCCGCCCGCCTCGGCCTCCCAAAGTGCCGAGATTACAGGCGTGAGCCACCACGCCCGGCCTAATTTTTAATTTTTCTATATTTGGGGGTTAGGTGTGCAGACTTGTTTGTTTTTGTTTTTGAGACGGAGTCTGGCTCTGTCTACAATCTCGGCCCAATGCAACCTCCACCTCCCAGGTTCAAGTGATTGTCCGCCACAGCCTCTGGAGTAGCTGGGATTACAAGACACCTGCCACCATGTCCAGCTAATTTTTGTGTTTTTTAGTAGAGACGGGGTTTTGCCATGTTAGTCAGGCTGGTCTCGAATTCCTGACCTCAGGTGATCCTCCTGCCTCGGCCTCCCAAAGTGCTGGGATTACAGGCGTGACACCCCGCGCCCGACCCCAAGTAGGTAATTTTCAATCCTCACTGGCCCCGTACCCTACCACCTTTCACAGTCTCCAGGGTGGATTATTCCCGTCCGTGTGTACCTATCATTTATCTCCCACTTATGAATGAGCTCATGCAGTATTTGACTTTGTGTTTCTGAATTATTTCAGTTAGGATGACGGTCTTCAGTTCCATCCATGTTGCTGCAAAAAACATGATTTCCTTCTTTTTTTATGACTGCATAGTATTAATCTCAGCATTTAGAAGTTTCCAGTGTTTCGACGTTTGATGAATAGAAGCTCCCTAGATTTGTAAGGCCTGGTCCAATGCCTGGGAAACCACAAGAGGAAGCGGAAACCAAACGCAATAGAAAAAGGAAAAGTCCGGCGGGGCGCGGCGGCTCACGCCTGTAATCCCAGCGCTTTGAGGGGCCGAGGCGAGCAGATCACCTGAGGTTAAGAGTTCGAGACCAGCCTGGCCAACATGGCAAAACCCCGTCTCTACTAAAAATACAAAAATTAGCCGGGCGTGGTGGTGGTGGTGCGCGCCTGTAGTCCCAGCTACTCGGGAGGCTGAGGCGACAGAACCGCTCGGACCCGGGAGGCGGAGGCTGCAGGGAGCCGAGATCGCGCCCCTGCACTCCAGCCTGGGGACAGAGCGAGACTCCAAGTCAACAAAGGAAAGAAAGAAAAGCAGCCTGGGCGACAGAGCGAGACTCCGTGAAAGGAAAGAAAAGAACAGAAAAGAAAAAAAAAAAAAAACACTCCGCAGCCTCCTGCGCCGCGGTCCACTCGCTGGGCACGTTAGGAAGGAGGTCAGCGCTCCCCGCCGCGGGTCTCTTTAAGGGACAGTGGGCGGCGTCCTGCCTTCGACTCGCGCCCCGCGGAGGAGGCCCGCGGACCAGGCGGGGGCCGGCGTGGGGCGGAGCCAGTGCGTGCGGCGTGACGCCATCCCGCTGCGACCGGCGCTCCGCGGGGCAGCTGGCTGCGGAGCTGTGGCGGAGGTGAGCGCGGGCTCTGGGGTGTCGCTGCCCGGGGAGGGTTTGCAGGGGACCCGAGGCACCGCCGCGTGAGAGCCCTGAGGGCGAATCGCGTCGCGTGACCTCAGAGCTGTCCAGGTCTAGGGGACGAATCTCCCCAACCTTTCCAAATCCTGGCGGAATGGCCTCATTATGAACTGATCCCAAACGCTGCCCGTGTCCTCGGTCGCTGGGGCGGAGACGGGGACACCGTTGTGGCCCCGCCCAGTGCCACCCGGGCCGAGCCTGTGGGGGGGACGCTGCCCAGCGGGTGGTGACAGACAAGGGACGTGGTATCGATCGTGCTGCGGCTCAGGCTCTCAAAGCACTCCTGCGAAATAGGCCCATTGTGCAGAGCGGGAATGTGAGGCCTGGCGACGTTAAAGTTACCGCCTTGTAAGCGCTGTAAAGGTGAGAGGTTGGGTATGGGGAACGTGTGAGCATCTTTAAAATGGTGATTCCGGCCGGGCGTGGTGGCTCACGCCTGTAAATCCCAGCACTTTGGAGGCTGATGCGGGCGGATCACCTGTGGGCAGGAGTTCGAGACCAGTCTGGCTAACATGGCGTAACCCCCATCTCTACTAAAAATACAAAAATTATTTTTTTGTATAGAGTCCCGCTTGGTGGCGCGGGACTCTAGTCTCAGCTACTCGGGGCTCTGAGGTAGGAGAATCTCTTTGTTTTGAGACAGAGTTTTTCTGCCCTTGTTGCCCAGGCTGGAGTGCAGTGGCGTGATCTCGGCTCGCCGCAACCTCTGCCTCCCAGGATCAAGCGATTGGAGAATCTCTTGAACCCGGGGACGGAAGTTGCGGTGAGCCGAGATCGCGCCACTTCACAGCAACCTGGGGGAAAGAACGAAACTCCATCTCAAGAAAATTAAATCAGTAAATAATAAAATGGTAATTCAAGAAAGCTTAAAAATAAAAGCTGTTTCTGGGTTGAGGGGGGAACAAAAAAGAAAAAACTTTCTGAACTGCCCTGGACAGTTCTTGAGACAAAATTCATTTGGCATTATAACCACCAAAATATGAGACTTTGGAATTTGCTTTTCAGGTGACCAAAGCCACATAATGTCCGTAGTCCGTTCATCCGTCCATGCCAAATGGATCGTGGGGAAGGTGATTGGGACAAAAATGCAAAAGACTGCTAAAGTGAGAGTAACCAGGCTTGTTCTGGATCCATATTTATTAAAGGTGAGAAACATTCCTGTTTCCGCGTGGCTTTGGTAAATTACCAGCATGTCCTGGATCCTGAGCAAAAAACATTTCTCTCACAGTAGAGTTCTCTTGTCTTTCATCTGCTTTCAGCCAGGCAGTCTGCTGGTCTGTGGGCATAACACGGTTTACACTTTCCAAGAAAATAGAGTTAATGTCAATCCACTCTAACTGCTATAGTCATTCTGTATGCAAAGCACTGGTTGGAGGAGGTGGCTCATGCCTGTAATCCCAGCACTTTGGGAAGCCGAGGTGGGTGGATCACCTGAGATCAGGAGTTCGAGACCAGCCTGGCCAACATGGTGAAACCCCATCTCTACTAAAAATACAAAAATTAGCTGAGCATGGTGGTACGCACTTATAATCCTAGTTACTCTGGAGGCTGAGTCAGGAGAATCACTTGAACCCGGGAGGTGGAGGTTGCAGTGAGCCATTGCACTCAAGCCTGGGTGACGAGAGAAACTCCATCTCAAAACAAAAACAAAACAGTACTGTGGCAACAGAGAACAGGGCATCTCATTCTTTCCTCTCTGGGTGCTGTGGGAGAGTAACCTTGATTAAGAGACATTTTAGGCCGGGCGCGGTGGCTCACGCCTGTAATCCCAGCACTTTGGGAGGCCGAGGCGGGTGGATCACGAGGTCAAGAGATCGAGACCAGCCTGACCAACATGGGGAAACCCCATCTCTACTAAAAATAAAAAAAAATAGCCAGGCATGGTTGCAGGTGCCTGTAATCCCAGCTACTCAGGAGGCTGAGGCAGGAGAATTGCCTGAACCCGGGAGGCGGAGGTTGTGGTGAGCTGAGATCGCGCCATTGCACTCCAGCCTGGGTAACAAGAGCGAAACTCCATCTCAAAAAAAAAAAGAGACATTTTAGCTGAATCTGAAAAAGGATTTTATCCAACGGGCTGCAGTGGCTCATGCCTGTAATCCCAGCATTTTGGGAGGCCAAGGCAGGAGGATCACCTGAGGTCAGGAGTTCAAGACCAGCCTGACCAACATGGGGAAACCCCATCTCTACTAAAAATAAAAAAAAATAGCCAGGCATGGTTGCAGGTGCCTGTAATCCCAGCTACTCAGGAGGCCTAAGCAGGAGAATTGCTTGAACCCGGGAAACAGAGGTTTCAGTGAGCTGAATCGTGCCACTGCACTCCAGCCTGGGCAACAAAAGTGAAACTCCATGTAAAAACAAAAAAAAAAAAGTTTTATCCAGAGGACTGGGTGGGAGAAAGTCATTTCAGCTATAGTGAGTGGTTTGCGGAAGTTCATTTAGTTCATTTAGCCATGATAGAGCATGATATTCTGTAGGAACATACAGTGGCTTGGCAACATTGAGCCTAGAGCTTTGCATGGTAGGCATTCTTGAATGAATGACAAGGACAGTTGGAGCTAGACTGTGAAGGGTCATTTGTGTTTTGGATTTCATCTTTTTTTTTTTTTTTTTTTTTTTTTTTTTTTTTTTTTTGAGACCGGGTCTTGCTCTGTCACCCAGGCTGGAGTTCAGTAGTGCGATCTCAGCTCACTGCAGCTTCCTGGTTCAACCAATTCTTGTGCATCAGCTTCCCAAGGAGCTAGATTTCATCCTTTAAGCCAGCAGTGTCAACGTTTTTGGCACCAGGGACCAGTTTCAGGGAAGACAATTTTCCTATGGAAGTAGGGCAGCGGGAGGATGAAACTTGTTCCACCTCAGATCGTCAGGCGTTAGTTAGATTCTCATAAGGAGCGTACAACCCAAGACCCCTCTCATGCACAGTTCACAGTAGGGTTTGTGCTCCTGTGGGAATCTAATGCTGCTGCTGATCTGAATGCTTATGCTGCCTCACCTGCTGCTCACCTCCTGCCATGTGGCCCTGTTCCTGACAGGCCACTGTGTGCTATCAGCCTGCAGCCCTTAGGGTTATGGATCCCTGCTTGAAGCCAAGCAAAGACAGACCTGGAAACACGGGTAGGGATGAAGACTGGGGTTAAGGGAATGAGCAAAGAGGCCACTGCAAAAATCTGGGATGGAAATAGGGCCTGAATTAAAGTTGATATAGTGGGGAGGGAGTGGAAAAACTATTTCAGGAAGAAAGGACCAAGTCATTGATTTGTTTGCTGTGCCAGGGGACCCATAGGTGCCAGGGATGGTTTCACATCCAAGGTTTGGCACACAGGTAGGTGGACATGCTGTTCATTATCAAGGATTAGAAACACAGGAGCAAGCGGAAGAGTGACTGCCTGATTCTTGACCTTGGGAGACCTTAGTTTGAATACTGACTCTTTTTTTTACCAGCTACGCGCATTGCTTAACCTCCCTGAACTTGTTTTTTTCATATTTAAAATGGGAACAACTGCGACAGCAGGTTTGTTTTAAAGAATAGGTGATTCTAGGCTGGGCACGGTGGCTCACGCCTATAATCCCAGCATTTTGGGAGGCCAAGGCTGGTGGATCACCTCATATCAGGAGTTCAAGACCAGCCTGGCCAACATGGTGAAACCCCATCTTTATTAAAATATATATATATATAAAAAATTAACCAGGCATGGTGGCGGGTACCTGTAATCCCAGCTATTTGGGAGGCTGAGGCAGGAGAATCGCTTGAACCCTGGAGGCAGAAGTTGCAGTGGGCCAAGATTGCACCATTGCACTCCAGCCTAGGCAACAAGGCTGAAACTCTGTCAGTAAATAAATAGAACAGGTGATTCTAGTTATCATTTGTAGTTTATTTGCAATACGTTGAGCCAGGCATAGAACTAAGTCCTTGATGTATATTATAATGTTGAATTGTCTTGGTAACTTTAGAGGTGCCGGTATTGGAGCTTCATTTTATGGTGGAAAAACACTCAGCTCAGAGTGGAGTGGGTAAGTGACTCCCACAGCTAGTGGTAGTGGTGAGAGCAGCATGCTTACAGGCTAGATGGAGGGCTCGTGGGAAAGAGGAATGTAAATAGCATAGAAGAGATGTTGATAGAGCCGCGGTACTGAAGGGAATGGTCTGGAAAGCTTGGGGATAAGATCAATGATGCTCTGGAAGCATCATTCTATTTTCCAAAAATTAGGCAGCTAATTTTGTGGGTTTTTTTTTTTTTTTTTTTTTTTTTTTTGGGGTGGTTGTTTTTTTTTTTTTTTTTTTTTTGTAGAGACAGTT